TATTATCATTATTATTAAGGAGAGTAACATGTAAAATAAGAAAGATAAGTTTATAATTAAGTATAAGAAGATATCATATGAGGGAGTACAAATCGTAATGATATGTAAAGTGAGGAACTAATTTTCTTAAGGTGTACTGACAAGATTAGACTAAGAATAGAAAAGCTGTATCATGACTCAAGGTAAATAAAAGCATTAAACATATTTCTTTTCTATGTATAAGTCAGATTTCACTAAGTTGGTGCTAAATATTTAGGCTACAACTATTACGTGTAATCTTAAGTCTTTAGGTTTACTAATCTGAATTTGATATACAAATGAGAAGCGACCTTTAAACTTGATGCTAATAAACATGGGATAAAGCTGTTTGAGTATGGCCTGTTATTGTTGTTATTTTTATCGCTATAAATACAACACAACAACTCTTATTTTTTATTTTCTTAAAGAGAGTGTTACCTCCATAAGTCAATTATTTATTTGCTTACAAGCACTATATTAGTTGAAACTGAAAGGTTTTTACAACTTCCATCTTATATTAAAAGTTTTTATCAAAACTCCAGTCTAATGAGTTGGATTGTTTATAAGTGGTGCATTATCAATGAGTGAACAATGTCATCTTTATCTATTCCTTTAGCCTTGGTCAAGTCATTTAAACTAGCGATCATATTTGTGCAATAGAATTTGATCATTATTATAGGGTTAGATAAATATCACTAGTCTACTCAGTAGTCAGTCAATTGTAAATATCTCTTAGTTTTATAAGAGGTCAACAGAAGCCTCGAATGCTTCAAAAATAATATTTTAGACTGTTGATTCGGGTGACTTAAGATCGAATTCGTTAGGAGGCATTAGTTCTCTCAGCAATTTCAGATACACCTTACTGACAAGTATCAAATAACAAAGAGTCCAGATTCAGTTGTGAGAAAGTAACTCACTGATGACAATGATGGACGGTGGCATAACTTCTTGGATTGGTTGAAGTTAGACATTAACACCGTTGGATGCTGACTCAGTGGTGTACAGGTTAAGCGTTCACCCATGAGACTGATAGGTCCAGTGGTTCGAATATCATGAGGCGTGATCGTGGATGCGCACTGCAGAGGATTGCCATACTGGGACGAAACAGCCGTTCAGTGCTTCCAAGCTCTTCATGGTGGTCTAGTTTCAATTGACTTATGAATTCAACTATTAACTTACTATAATATTCACAAAACCACTCTCTGATTAAAATATTTATTTGTATAAAATTGTTAAACTAAAAATATAAATTAACATTATTGTGGAAGTTTATTTCTCCGTTCACATAGTAAACATTAAAAACCTCATTTGAAGTAGAACAGTAATTAAAAGGTCAACTAGACAGGTTAAAGGTAAGTCATAACAAAGGAAAAATAATAAAGTACACAAAAACAAATGTGATTACCACTCTGTATAATAAATCAGTATTACCAGGGTAGGTTAAGTGTAAGCACAAATTGTTTTTAAACACACAAAGGGGGTTTTAATTTCCGGATAGCCAAGGCTTCAATAAACCTTAGGTTCTTAACAAGTACATGTGTGATCAGATTGTTCGAAATGTAGAACAGTAGAAACAATAATATAAAAAGATTATTATGTTGCTAAAATTTATTTATATCAAATATTCTCCAAAATATTTCAAAAGTTAGTTAAACATAAATTCTGATTATTTTCTATGGCTTCATAGAGTGACTTCTCTCATTTAATAATCTACAGTTATCCTTTTTGTGATTAAAGTATTCATATCTCATTAGATTTCTGTATAATTTCGATAATGTAATAAGAAGACGAAGATTATCAGAATTATGTGATGTATTAGCGCAATACATTTCGAACAATCTGATCACACATATACTTGTTAAGAGCATTTATATATAAAAATAAAAGGTCAACTAGACTGGAAATGGGGTAAGAGGAGACAAGGATAATAATAAGAGTAATAGTAATATGAACACAATTCGAAACCTAATCACTCTTGATAATTAGTCAACATTACCAGGGTAGGTTTAAGGTAAGAACAAACAGTTTTCGAACACACAAAGGGGATTTGAATTTTCGTATGGCTAAGGCTTCAATAAACCTTAGTATACGCCCTTTTACACTTTTATACAAAACCACAAAAGCCGAGTTTAGATCAATCTTATGGTCTGTTTCAATTATATGTTTAACAATAGAGGATGATGGATGTTTGTCCTCTGCTCTTATTGGGTCACTTGATTGTATTTGTTTCTGCAACCATTTTGGTACGTGTTCACACACCCTAATTTTGAGATCACGATTGCTCCTCCCTGTGTATGTGTGACCACACACACATTTAAATTGGTAAACACAGAGGGATGTGACACAATTGCTTTCATGTCTTTTAAGTTTTGTATGAAGCATGCACCTTGTTCTTTCTTTGATAATGAGCTTTGCTGCGCAATACGTTTTGTTGATTTAAGTCTTTGTTGCAATAAAAGGCTATTTGAATCACCTCTGAATGGTAAGCTGATGTAGACAGGCTTTTTTTCACTAAGGCTACAGTAGGTCTCGTTGTACCATTGACCTTCCATCTATTTATGAATTTCAGAGGATAGCCATTTTCTATTATTGCTTTATTTAGCAACTTAACATTATCAATAGTGTCATTTGTACAAATACTATCAAGCCTGTTGAGTAGGCACCTTATCAAACCACGTTTATATTGCACAGGGCAATAACTATAATAACTAAGGTATTGACCTATCCACATTGGTTTTCTCAAAATGGATCGCTTGACTGAGCCATCTTCTCGTCTACTCAGAAGCATATCTAGGAAGGGGAGCTGATCGTTCTTCTCCTTCTCACATGAGAGACTGATATGGTTTTGGAGAGTGTTAAATTTATTCAATACATCATTTAATAATATCAATTAGTTTCATTAAATTGACACATTCAATTCAATATTTGTTAAAAACATGTTGAGTATTTTAATTAGATATGAAAAATTTTAATAAAATTTATTAATATACATGACATATGAGATAATAGAACCGTGTATTGTATTTTTTGGCTCTTCATAAACCATGCTGGTAGATGTTCACTCATTCGTTGTTTGAGTTTCCTGGTAGTATACTCGATATAACTATGTCTACAGGAGCAGCTGAATTCGTAAATGTACATTGAGGAGGCCAACTACTCACAATTGATCGATCACTGGGTGGCGATCAATGTCATGCGTGTCTAGTCCTTATTAGTGCAGATCGAATGCTATCGATCATGTTGCCATGTGGCCACCAGTCTAGGTGACTCGACACTGCAGGCACTATATATTGAGATTAGATGGTGGTCGGAGGTAGTCGACAGGAAACGCAACTACTAACAGGCAACTTAACTAACGAACGAGTGAACATCTACCAGCATGGTTTATAAAAGGCCAGATAAAAATATGAGAAAATAGTTTAATAATTTAAAATATATTTCAACAATTGGAAGGTCAAATTTTATATCAATTTTTATTAGAAATAAACATGTATATTCACAGGATCGTCGTTTAGGTGTATAATAATGATTTATCATGTTCTGTAGGTTTGAAATGATAATAAATCCATAAAGACCCAGAAACATTGAAAACACTTGCCATCAAACTTCTTTTGATCACAGTTGTGATTTAGATTTTATCGATAACCATTACTATAAATAGTCAAAATATAACCATAGGTACCACTACACTGATATTTGAACTACATAAGATAAATTTCAAACTGAAATATTCAACCTCTATTGATTAACTCAAACTTCCCGACTGAATTATTTAATAAATAATATTTATAATTTTATTATTCCTGTTAATGTAAAACACACCTATTTCACTTATAACTGATCTTTAGTATGACTAATGTATGATATCTGGTTAGTGTTTTTTTAGCAAGGTTTTTTTCTACAGGATATGATTGCTAACCCTGAGCTTGGGAACAGTTTGGGAACTCTAGAGGAGCTACAGGTGGGAAACGGATAAGAGGAAGACCAAAGAACACACTGAATCTGAAGTTAAAAGCAGACATAAAAAGCACAAAAAGCAACTGGAAGAGATTGTCTAAGACAGAGTTCGATAGACATTGGTATTGGGCGTCCTGTGTTCCTGAACGAGGGATAATAAGCCTATGAAGTCATATTATTTAATTCATAAATTAGTTATATTTTTTAATGTCTGTATCCAGTAAGAAGCTAGCATAGGTTAATTTCGAATAATTCTACTGATATATTAGTAAATTCATCTTTATTATTATCATCATCATTATTTCATATCATTATTGACTAATTTATGTAAAATGGTATTTTTCTTCCTACAATCGTTCTAGGCTACTTATAGAAAAAGTATAGATGATAAATGAAAAGAAACAACATAAAAATCTATCGTACATAATGAACAATCATTTCATGGTCCTATTACATATATATATTCTTGGCTTTTCAAGTGTATCCATAATTTTCAATAGAAATGTCAAGACTGTTCTACTGTCTACTGAGGCGGAAACGTGGATAACTACGAAAGCCATCATCCAGAAGATACAAGTGTTTAATAACAATTGTGTAGGCATAATGATTTGTTAAAACAAACAAAAACAGATGACTTGTTCAAATATTTAGATGGCAGGAACAGGTAGACAAGATATTCGTCAGGTCACCAAGTATTTTTTTATTGATCTATCTATACAATTCTTCAATAAAAAAGGAAGAGAGTTCAACGACTGTCAATAAACACTGCAGCTGACTGCATAAATACTAAATTATATAAAAACTACTGACTTTTACTAAAAGTGTATGATGATTATGTGTTTTCATTAAGGCATCATCAATGCTTCGTTTGGTGATCAATATATTATAATGAACAATCAAATTTGGAAAGAGAGCAAATAACACCTAATCATAATTTCTGTGAAATGCAACTAAAAACGCTAACGGACAAACAAATCTTTTTATAAAGTACAGAGCATTAAAAAAAATCAAACCGTCATATTTACCTTTGATGGGATTGTCTTCTTGAGAAAATTGTTCACCATCACAATTGTTCGGTATCGATGTGGCGCATTTCTTATGTACCCATAATTTACAGTCTTTTTTTAAATCAACGAACAAAGCACAAAGGTTTTTGTTAGTTTACTTATAGTTCTAATAGAACTATTTAATAACAAACATCCTGCTATTAAATTTACATGTGAAGAGGAAATAGATAGCAAACTAAATTTCCTGGACGTTTAGTTAAGTAGAAAAGAAAATGGTTCTATCAGCAGAGGTGTGTATAGAAAAGGTTCTTCTCCAAGCCAATACACACACTTTTTAAGCTTTATGCCTCTTCATTATGTATTATGGAATAGATTGACTAGAACAGTAAAGAGAACGTTTAATGCTGCCAACCTCTGCCTGTCGTATTCGACCCGATCGGTGGTGATTCCGCAATTGAAGGATAAGTTTACTTATAAGCGATAAAATAATCAGATAATATAAAATGGCATTTTCAGAATTAAACAATGAAGATAGTATGCTTTAAAATAACTGTTTTTGAATAGGAATTATATGGCTAAGTACCAAAATAAAAATACAGTACATGTTACGTATATATCACCAAAATATGTAATTATATATGGATATATATATATATATATATATATATTTGATGTAACGTGCTTGGAGGTGGTAGGTAGGTAGCTCTGAACTTGGGTCTCGTTCTGCTTGAAAGTCGCCATCACGATGCAATACTGAAGGAACTGATATTCCTTGATGGATTCAAACATGGGTCACTAGGTTTCACAGTCTGAGACGTTATCACCGGGCTGTTCAAACAGCCACTGATTTCCTGTGTGAATGAGATGCTTACGCTGTTAAATAACTGCATACTGAACAATTCATATCATATTAACACTACGTTTATTATTATTACCAACAAAATCTTGATTATTATAGTTGTTACTACTACACTACCTATTAACTATGGTCTAATAACAAAATCTTGAAAAACTGACTTTGTGTTTCCACAAATTTTATGCCTTAACTGTATTTCGAGACAAGCTTATTGAAAGTCATATTTTCTTTGTACGTAATTTGCTCATGTGATAAATACATTAGGCGAAGGATAACACTAGAAATTCAGCATTTCGTCAGACCAAAGGTTAAAAAATAACGAGTGAATTTGAAGGTGTTGTACGATTGCCAAAAAAACAACAATAATTGTCACCTTTTCAAAGTGTCAATACATGGAACTAACACTGTCTTCTCCAATATTCTGTACAATGTGGATTCTATCAATCATGCAGTCTTATCTTGGGTAATAAAACCTCTTTTAAAGTCACGTCTTATTCCTTCTTGCATATCGACGGCAAAATACAAGAGGGCGATGGTCAGTACGTGATGAGGTCTGAGAATTACGGGTTCAAAAATGTATAGAATTGTGGGTAGGTAATAACTAACCTTTACACTGTAAACCTTGCCGAAATAATCCATGTAATAAACGATGACAGTTTTGACAAACAATAGGCTTAGCACTTCGTCTCAACTCGAATGTATGCGGAACTTCAAGTGGTTTTTCAATAACTCGTTGACTCCATAATGGTTTGCCTAGTAGTATACTACTTTTTCTAAGAGGTGATGTATTGATTGGTTGAATTTGACCAATTTTAATAATTGTCTTATACCTTTGAATTGTTGTATTACTAAAAATAAAAGAATAGAAACATTTCATTTTTAATACAATATTTATACACTGCACCGAGAATTCAAAGCAGATATCAAAAGGACGAATAGCAACTGGAAACAGTTAGAAAGAATTGTCCAGGAAAGAATTCGATGGAGAATCCCAGTGGGTGGCCCATCCTACTCCACGATGAGTAACAGAAGTAAGTAAGTAAGTAATCGTTTTAAAATTATTTGATTATGAAAAAGATTACGCAGTACACTTTCGTTTCGAAAGAATAAGAGTATTTCAACAATGCAATCTCTTCAGTTCATAGATTGTGAAAAGTAGTTTCTTACTATTGTTTACCATCTTTATTAAAAGTTGTATTTCGAATGAAATGTAATAAATCCATATCTAAATTACACTACATGTTTTAAAAGTGCTTATGATGTAAATAAAAATAATAATATATTTGTAATATCCCAATGAGTAGAAAATTGGATTTTCTGACGTTTCGTGACTTAGTGTAAGTCACTTTATTTTTATTTATAACAATCAACCCAATGCTCAATTTATTCGAAATTATCAAATCAAACCTTGGTAATGACACCTACAGTGCTTATGATGGTTTAAAAAAATTGAAAAATGATTAAATTATATTTTTGGGTGAGACCTGAAGGAAATTTAACTTATTTCAATGCATTGACATCTTGAATTTCCTGCTCCATGAAGTAATTAGTATCCCAACAAAAGGCGGCCTGCTTGAGCATCTGAGCTACCTGTTCCTGCCATCCAGATATTTCAATAAGTTATCTATTTTTATTTGTTTTCATATATCAATATGTTTATTAATCACATGATGTATTCTGCTGCGTTTCTAAAGTGTACAACCTTTCGTTGTCAAAGTTACAAAAAACTCAATAAGAGAGAATGTGGTTGCTGGCAATATACAGCGAAAAGAATGCACATTATTCAGATGTTCATTTACTGAACTGCCAACATCTAACTGGAGATCACTCAATATTTATCGCCAGAACCGACCAAGAAGAAAGAAACGGAAACTTGTTGAAATACTTTACGCTGAGAATTCTATATTGTACCAAAAATATAATATTGAATAAAGCTGATGATAATAATAATAATAATGAGAAATAATTTTTCCATGTATAGTGGAAACGAACTTAAGATCTGGGGAATTTTAGAATCGTTTTATGCAACACATCTAATACTTACTGATAATTAATTTATGTGAAATAAATAGTAATTGCTCACAAGTTTTGTTCTTTGTTTTATTTTTTCAGTTACGAATTGGTTACGTGTAGGAACACAAATAAGTGGAAGGCAACTCGATGGTCTAAAGGTTAAGTATTAGATGCAAGACTTGACTGTTCTATGTTTGGTTTCTGTTGGGGTCCTAAATGTGCGTTATGGTTGTGTCCCACACTAAAACGGATCAGCTGTCAACTGCTTCCTGGTTTCAGTAGTTATCTTACTAGATTCAGTCCATGATTCAAGCTATATCTTTATAGTGATGGTTGGAAATAGGCGACAGAAAACTCTGAACTTACGTTTAGCGTTATGGAACAGCAAAGTATATCTATAATCTCGATGAAACCTCAGACAGAGATGACACTACCATGCATTCGCGGTTGCGACTGACCTCTTGTATGACTGAAATGTGTTTACAATTAATTGATCACCGCGTAACGACCAATGCCATATACCTACAGTCCTTCTTCGCTTCCCATCATACAAGAGGCAAGTCGTGGCCCTGAAGGCTCAGAGATAACATACCCGACTACTGAGTTTAATGGCGCGGAATCGTTTCCATCAGGCAGCATTAGTGGTTACATACATACCTTACTATCAAATAGCATTAAACGTAGGTTCATAGTTTCTTGTCGATTGCGTCCAATCACCAAAATGCACCTTAATGTCGGGCATCCAAAGTCGAGTCACTTAAACTAGTAGCCATATTGCAACTTGATCGACAGAATTTGATCAGCACTAAAGAAGACATGACATGTATGACACCGACCAGTACTCAATAATCAGTCAATAATAAATTATATCTATAATCGCTTTGATTACTTTGTTTATTATTAAAAGATTCATTTTTCTTAAGTATAGATTAGTGCACTGAGCTTCAAGTCACACTTTGACTGTGAGGTTTAGGGATAATACTAACTAGTCTAAAACCAAAGTAGGTGAAGTGGAAGTAGAACCAGCTGAAAGTTTAACATTTCAATGATTACACCACACCGTCACGGAATAATAAACGTCTTTGTACAATATGAATTATTATCATTTTTCAACATTTTTTTCGTCCGAATAATCCATTTTAACAGATTATTTGCCATTTAAACATTTCAATGTTGAAAATCTTATTTCTATGGGTTTTATATTATTAAATACATAAAGAACTGAAAGAAATTTTCAGTGATAAATCAATCAATATAGAAACCAAAACTGTAGTCATGATAACTATATCAATAATCCAATAATCATTCAATTAATTATTGATTTCTATTTACATTTTTTTGATTAACACTTAAATGGTTTGAATGTAAACTAGATCATTTTAGCAAGTATATTCAAGTATATGAATATGTAAATGAACGGAAATGAATCAATTTATCCAAAATATAAATGTTTTCTGATTTTCATTCCAATTAATTATAATCTAATCATTGAAAAATGAAGCCTTATCAACAGAATAATAGAACAAGACGAGGCGACACCTACTGTTATTGTATGTAACCAAAAGTTGTCAGTAATTACAATTAAAACAAATTACGAATACTATTTAGTAAATAATAAAATCTTTAAAAATAAATTAAAAAATAATGTTACATTGATAATTATCAATAAACAGATCAATAAGCCAGTTTGAGTATATTCTCATAAAATTGTTATTTACTTAGATATACCCCTGTTGGACAGTAATTAAAATGGATACAATGTAAACAAATAGAATGATATCTTATGCATTTCTTTTAAACATTTTTTTGTTGTTGAAAATTCGTAGGTATCAATGCCAAATTTGAACTTGATTGTTTCAATCAGGTAGAAATTTAATAGAAAAAAATATCAGAAGGAGTTTTGTGGAGATTTTAGTAATTTCAATGGTTGAAATCAGAAGTCAGTTGAAGCTAGAACACCATGGAAAACCTGGAAGCACTGAATGACCGTTTCGTTCTAGTATGGGACACCTCAGCAGTGCGCATTTACGATCCCGCCCCCTACGAGATTCGAACCACAGGACCTATCAATCTCGCGCGCAAGCACTTAACCATTAGACCACTGAGCCGGTCAGAATCCAAAGGTGTTAATGTCTCACTTCAACTGATCCACCGAATTGCGCCAAAATATTATTTTTGTTGTTGTTATATTCTAGTGAGTAGAAAAATTCTATTTCTGATATTTCTTGACTTTATATTGAAGAAGTGGCTTGCATTAAGTCACGAAATATCAAGAATACAATTTTTCTACTTAGATAAAATGTAACAAACAATAATTTGAAGCAAGTTTTTTTTCAAATAATACAGACAATATAATGAGTTAAAAATCAATGCAACGTAGATAGAAAAGATATTTGATTTTTTTCATTATGTAATAGGGAGATTAGAAGGATGAAGAGACGAAGATAGTAACAATAATATATTTCCAGGTAAATATTATCTCATGTCATTGAATCGATTTTGTATTTACTATTAATCGATAAATCAGTTGTGACTAATCACACAGTTCCTTTTTAGTGCTGATCGAATTCCGCCGGTCAAGTTGAAATGTGATCATTGGTCTAAGTGACTAGAAAATTTATGGTTCTGTTTAAATAAATGATGATTGAAATTAGTCTCCTGTTGACAACCCCAACCACCTTTTAAATCAATTTTGTTTCATGAACAATGTAACCAAAAGGTTTGGATCAGTAAAGTTTATCTAATGATTCATGTACCGGGCTGAGATACAAAAGGTATTCTTAATGTTTGGTTGACTAAATATGTTACATTTGTTCATTTATCTTAATATGTTGAGATTATATGTGTTGTAATAACGCTGAGAAACGGACTTTACGTAATAAGTGTTCAGAACATCAATAGTACAAGATAGATGCCGAAAACCTCCGTGGTAACCATCAAAAATGTAAACACATTTTTTTAGAAATCTATTAATTTAGAAAATCATGAAAGTCTCTAGAAACAAATGCAGTACTACAATTGAAAAGTGCACAATCTCTTATTTCATATTAAAGATATTTATTCATAATCTCAACTACTAACGAATCATTTATCATAATATTGGTACTTCCAATTGTGATCATTGTAAATTTTACATTATTATTCTAGGAAAAAGATTCGGTGTCTACTTCACAGAGATATAGTGCAGAGTGATATACTTGCTAATAGATACTACTACTCAGAAAAGGTAAATGCACCAAAAACCCTAATGTGGTTGTCGTTATTGGCTTATCCTTAAGCAGCTCACATCATAGTCGATATTTAGTGAGTGGACAATCGTACTAAATCAATAATTAAGGGAAAAAAACAAGAATTTTTGAGTTAAAAAACAAGTCAATAGAGAAAAATAGTAATCTAGAAAAGATGAAGTACAATTCTAGAAGGATATATGTTGATTAAAGTTATTATTTAGGTACATTAAAATATAAAATCAGAAATTACTGAAAATTGCACAGTTCTAACTACTTTTTGTGTACATATCCTTCAATAACTGCCAAATAATATGCAATCACAGAAGTGCTTTCAGAATTAATTGATTATTTCAAGATTTTGTAAGTGAAATGTGATAAGTCTTGAGGATTGAACGCTATATTCGTCTCCTAAGCTATTCTGTAGCCCCCAAGTTAGAACTATACAGCGACCTGAACACGAGAGAGAAGACTCAAAGTACGCGAGAAGTAGTTTACTCCAAGATTCATTTTAACACAGAAAATATAGGGTTTTTATAATATTTTTAGATGTCCTCGGGTTGCTCGAAGATTCTGGAATGCTACTAAACATAGTAGCAGTGTAACAACCAGCCAATCAGACCCTCTGCATGTGACGTTTCGCTTCCTTGATATTTTTGGCAAAAACTCCAAGTGAACGCTGACTGCACGAAACGCTTCTTAGTGATTCCTGATGCTTGCTTGTCTTTTGCAAGCGATTTTCTGGATCACTCCAACAAAATGATAACGATAAATAATATGAGACAGATCTATGTAACAAAAGAAGAATTGCATTTTGCAGTTACTTCTATACCTGGCTTCAATGTTTAAACTAGTATATTGTCAAATGTTGCTGCTTTCTCACTCTTGATTTGTCTGATGGCCATCCTGATTTCTTTAATCGTTGATGGAGTGACATTATTTGAAGGATTTGTGTGTGCTGCTCTGATGTCCTGTGGGTTCACTGGGGCCGGTATATTCAACAGTTTTTCAAAGTTTTCTACCCACCTGTTCCGCTATTTTCCGGTGTGATAATTTTGTTTGATGTTTTTATTTAAATAATAGACGGACTGATCGTCTTTGATATTAATTGTATCAAAGATACTTTTGATACAGATTTTCTGTTGTTTGCTTTGTTATCAAATTGTCTATAGCTCAAAACGATTCATATTTTGTAATTTTGTAAAGTTTTTTACTAGAAAATTGTAGGCTATGATCTTGTCGATACATTATGCAGGTGAAACACTCATCAGAATGAGGAGAGATGAGTAAGTAACTATTGTTAAGTAAATCAATAAGATCACAGAATATCCTTTAAAAATTAAGAACAGTTTTCTGATGGAACCAGTTTCCTAGCAAGTTACACATAAGCTGACAGTTTAAATTACTTAATTCAACGTTTTATTTGTTAATAAGTCAATAACGATTCGTTTATACTTTTTTGAACTTTCGATGTATATTTGGTAACAATACCAGTATAACAATATGGTTAAGTTATTTAATCCATCGGGTCACTTAATCACTCATTTTTAGTAACTTTCAAAGTACATTGTAGTGGCTTAGTTTAGGTAATCAATCACCTTGATAACCGTTTTTATATAAATCAGAAGGCAATAAGAAGCGGCAACTACAGTTTATTATCGGATGGCACAGACAACAAAGTTATAAGTACATCGAGTGAATTTGAAGAAGAAAGATTAATGTGTGTACGATGAGCGAATATAGAGGCAAATTTATAATCAAATTAAATGGATAAGGCTAATAATAGGATCTGAGTATATATAACATGGAGAGAAGGATGAATCATAGAGTGATATTTAAGCGATTAACATCTTGGCTAGGGAGAGATATGTGCGTAGGCTGTTATGTGATCAAGCGTACACGTTTATACACATAAGATAATGATCATAATAGTACAAAGAAATAGATAAGTTGTTACTGCTCGAACAACATTGTCTGTTAAATAAGTTAATAAAAGTGCTTAACAAAAATTAACCATAATGGAAATTGATTATAGGAGAGTTGCTATAACATCTAAATAACACTTCAGTTTAATTTGAATTAAAACACTGATTTCATTTCATGGAAATTCTTAAGTTTCTGAACGTATACTACTGTACATTATCCTACAAGTAAGTTTAAATACATGCTGTTAGTAAGTGAAACAACAAACTGTTAAATAAACTTGACAGTTTAATGATGAATAAAAGTCATTTGTGAAAGCAGTTGAGTCTTTTACTGTAAACAATATAAGTTAGTTTATTTCAAAATATGCTCACCAACTACTATCAAAGAACATGTATCTTAAATTGTCCTTATTATTTAAAAAAGAAATTCCTGAAATTCTAAAATATGCTTCTCAAATTGTTTGAAATGTATTGCACAAATATATCACATAATTCTCACAACCTACCACTTCTCATTACATTGTCGAAATGCTTCCTATATGTTATATGTTGAAAACTTGATTGAAATGCAAGTAATCTTCCATAATATATATTACTCACTTTACTGAAATATTGTAGTGAACAGTAACACGACTAGGGGTCAATCGAATGTATTTGACCACAAATATTCAGAACATCTTACTAAAATCTGAGAACCATACCGTAAATAATAGTTAATTTGCAAAATATCAATCAATTGTCTCAAACATGACTATTCCCTTTACAAATATCAGTCCATCGTCTCAGATTTCATTGTTCTTGTATTTTAATACCAATTGTCTTGATCTTCTACTGAAATACATTCTATTCCTGAATATCGTTATATACTACTTATGTGGATATAAGCAGCTCACACCACAATATTATTGATTTCCATTGTATTTTCTTTATTGTGAGCTTTGGTTATATTATAATGACAAGTTTGATTTGTGACAATTTTCATTCATGACTATTGTCTAGAGTCCTAAACATGTTCGATGGTTCTTTCGTCTACACATACATACATACATACATACATACATACATACATACATACATACATACATACATACATACATACATACATACATACATACATACATACACTGACTTACCTCAATTTTCACTACATTTCAAACAATTGTGAATTTAGAATCGAGATATTATTATTGGATAATCAGTTAGTACAGTTAGCTTGTAGACTTTATTCATATTCGATCATTTTGATGTTTATTTATTTTCAGAAGGGTTTTTGTGGAGATTTTAGAAACTTCACTGATTGAAATCATGAGTCAATGGAAGTTAGACCACCATGGAAAACCTGGAAGCACTAGACATTAACACTGTTGGATGCCGGCTCAGTTGTCTAGTTGGTTAAGCGCCTGGCGCGAGACTGATAGGTCCTGGGTTCGAGTCCCATGTGGAGTGGGATTGTGGGGTCACACTTCTGAGGAGTCCCATACTAGGACGAAACGGCCGTTCAGTGCTTCCAGGTTTTCCATGATGTTCTAGCTTCAATTGACTCATGATTTCAATCAGTGAAGTTTATTTATTTTCCTAAAGACAGTCCAGACCAGATTGCCGAATGAAATTCTAAAGTTATTTCTTATCTCAATGGCTGAGATTTTATAAGAATCTGGTTTCATTTATGTACATGTTATATTATGTATTATCAACAATTTAGTCAGTGTAATAAAATATCGGCAGTGTTAAACAATGAAAACACTTAAAACAGGATGAAGAAAAATGCATCTTATCAATATATTTGCTACATAATTTAATAGAATAAGCGATAGGGATTCGACAGTCAGTTAATACTATCACAAAGTAATCCACAATAAACCTAAGCTAATTAGAAATGCTTCATATAGACAATCGAAAAACGAAAAAGAAACATTTTTATAAGTAAAACTTAAAGTTCATATTACTGAAAACGTTTTCTAATTCAATACTCAATTACCTGAGATCATGATCATTAGCTTCATGATTTAAGTGACCTGAAATTTTGTATAGAAAAAAATAATACGAAAGGTTAATGATAAAAGTGTTAATATGATTCTGATTCAAAAACAGTGTAAATTTATGCCTTATTAAAAATAATTCATCTATGTATTGGTTGTTTGAATCGTCCCATTGATGTTTAGGAATACAATTGATCCATCTCTTATAAGCATATGTGCATCCTTTGCGGATTGCCTCGATATTGTCTTCAGTCACATGTATTATAAGTAAATGTGGATAGTGTCTAGTAAAGGGATACAGGAGACACGTTTTGTTCTATGTGGAACTCAGTTGGATTTAAGTGCATACAGGAATTGATATTCACTCAAGAATTCGAACCCAATACAGTTAGCTTCAAACACCATCACTTATTACAAATATTTGTATATAAAGTGAAAGAATACCTTATCCAATCTTTTAGGAAAATAAAAAAATTAGTCATTTAACCTTGGAGTACTGAATGGTTAACTATCTTAAGTCTATCTATTTGAAATAATTAAGAATATAGACAATTTAAAGATACAGCGTTGTTTTGTTTTAAAGGCAAATGATCAACTTACAATGTTCTTACACTACAGAATCGTAACCTTTATGTTAATCATCATAAAAATATAATCACAGTTTGATACAAGAAAGTTAAAAATGACTCAAGTATCAAAAATTTATTTTATTATTTACTGAACAAGCTCAAAGCATTAAAACGTCATTAGCAAAATACTTCAAACTGTTATTTGTCTGACCATATAATTCAGTAAACTATCGATCTGCAAATTTGATTAAACATTAAAGCAAAACAAATGTTTATTTTTCGCTTGATGTTTGAAGACCAGTATAAAACCACTAAGTCAATCTTCAATGTCCAGCACATTTATGTTGAATAGGGAAAACAAAAACATATAATATTATGGTGTGTGCTACTGATGTCGATAGATATAAGTAGTATGTTTCATCAGTCGAAAGTGAAAATCAAAGAAAAGAGAACGAGAACAGAGAGATATTTCTGTGGAAATGAAGGAACAATGAAATCTGAGACAATTGATTGACATTTTTCAAATTAAGTATTTACTGTATGGTTCTCAGATTCTATTAAGATGTTCTATAATGTTGTATTCGAATACATTCAATGGTTTTGTAGCTCAGCCTGAGCAACAAATTTTCTCCACCATCTCAAAATCATATGACAGTGGGACATTCAATGGTATCTATTTGTGTTCTCCTTTACTGCAATATAACCAAGAGTTATATGCCGTGAATTGATGGAAAAACGTTAAATGTATAATTGTTATGTTGATATATCTTCACCGATAAATAAACTGTACTTCAGCCTACATTTTGTCCTTCGATTTAAATAATATGGTGTTAGTCAGTTCAGTATCTATCAATAAGAACGTGATCTTATTTTTCATCATCGTTTCTCAAATCAACACTTTAGTTTACATGTATCTTAGTCAATACATGCAGTTTTAAACTAAGGTCTACATTGATAATGTGCCATTGTTTTAAAATCACTAAAATGTTTCCAGAGGAAATGTTCCTAAATTTCTTTTCTCAAAAAAGAAAAAGTGTAACTAACTTATAGGTGTTCTTGTGGCACAAAGAAATGTAGTTATATTATTTCTGAGAATGTCTTCACAATAGCTTTACTTAGTAAAACAAAATATGACACATAACGATTAAGAAACATTTTAGAAATAATGACAGTAATACTTAACGAGGAAGAGAATAAACATAAACTATTATTATCCGAAGTGAACAGCAATAATATACTCGGTGACACTTTAGTTTATGGTCGAACTAATCAGGTTTACGATAAGAGGTTTTGAATTTTGGCTCGAAACTAATTCATTCATTTGGCTAAATAGTTTTGGAATTATAGTTAATGTCAGTTCGCAATGAAAATTCTAAATCATATTCTTTACCTTAACTATCAACTGTAAATATTAATCCTAATTACTTATACTAGTTTATAACTCTCATTTCGTTGAAGTATGTAGATGGACATTCTCAAGATCTTTTAGCGTTGCTCAACGGTTGCCGATAAATTACAGTCTTACCATATATTATTAAAAATGTGTACAAATTAGAAACAAAGAAAACAAATTTCATTTTTCTTTATTTTGTCTATCTTATAACTAAATATTGTTGATTAGTTTAAACAAAATCAAAATTAAATGAGATGCAACTTCAAGGCATCAATATATAAACCATTGTCAGAATAAGGTTGTAGAGACTTTTGAATGTTGTTGAAATCACGAATCGATCTTACCTAGATAATCACCCAAAACCAGGAAGCTATGAATAGCCATGTTTGTCAGAATATGGGACTTATCAACAGTGTCCATCCATGACCACACAGCCGGGAATCGAACCCAGAACTTTCGATCTAGCGCAATATTATGGACTGATTAAAGTTCGACTTATACACCACTGTATCCTGGCTCAGAGTTTTAGAGATGATCACCGAATTTTATAATTTATATCATAAATTAATCTCAGTTGCACAGTCAGTCAGAACTAGGAGGCACTAGAAGAGTGTTTTGTACTAATCTAAGGCCTGTAACATAAAGACGAGACTGTTGTCTAGTGCTTCCTGATCTTCGATGGTTTTGTAACTAACATTATTCTGTTCAGTAGACCATAAACGTCACAACAGAGCATCATGATCTATTGGAAACATTTCATGTCAGAAGAATGATGACAAATAGGACACAATAGTTTACAAACAAAACAGCATTTTTATCTTGCACTTTGAGAGCTGACGTATATAAGATGCAATCAATAAAGTAAAAAGATGAATGGATGAATAATTTTCTTCATGAAATTTATAATCTTCTTAAGGGATCATGATACTTGTAAAACGTTTCACATTTAGAAGCGTATAATCACCATATCTTTCCAGTATACCAAGTAGACTATATATATATACATTATATCTATCCATCTAATTATATACAAAATGGATTAAAGATATCAGATTGTATACAATTTAGTAAGATAATCACATATGAAATGTAATGTAAATGATTGACCGTTTTCAACACTCAAACTTATTCACAATTGAAACGAATTATAACCAGCAAAATAAACCAAACAAAAAATGAATAATCACATTCAGTTAAATATTTAATAATTAATAATATTTGTAAATGAAGGAATATTTCTAAAAAGATGAATGATCAGTGCAACTATAATTTATGGACGACCATTGAGCGAAGTTAAAGTGACCTTGGCAGTGTTCACCTAATAATTAGAATCAAATGAGGGTTATAAACGAATGGGAGGAATTCGAATTATGATTTACAATTGATGGTTAAGGTTAGGAATTAGATTTAGGGTTTTCATCATGAATTGACATAAGCTATAATGTTAAAACTCTATTTAGCCAAATAGATGAATGAATTTCGCGCCAAAATCTGAGACGTGTTTCCTTACACCTGATTGATTGATCCATAAATTATAGTCTCACCGAATGACCATTCTAATTCTAATTATTAATATAATAAAACACTAAAATCAATTCATGTTTCTTTCTTCAAGTACATAGACATTTTGTTTTATCCCATCTCTTTACTATGAACTAATAGAATGAATAAAATGCTTATAAAATAACTTAAAACATATAGTCACATTGAATAAAATCAAACTTTGTGTTTAATTAGTGTATAGCTTATAAGAATATAATTATTATCGTCGTCTTATTAGGAAGGTTAAAAAGAAGTTTCTTTTTTCTACCCATTAAATCATAATAAGATTCATGAAGTTAATTTATTTTAGTGTTTACATCCTAGAAAATATCTTCCCCTCGTGACAGTTTGTCATGTTGTTCTCTTTTTTCGTTAATAACATGATAATAAGCGACCTATATCATAATGATAAAACACGTTTCTCTTATTTTTTTTGTTGCTGTTGTTTTCTAACAGTTAACAATATATTAAACTTCATGATATCGAAGTAATTTACCTCATTATTTATATTAGAAATAAGTAGTGGATATTCAATGATTGATTTTGCATACAACACATTGATTAACAATTCACTTAAGTTATAATGATTTAACATTCAATGATTTGAAGTGTTTTCTTGATTATGTCATATTGACTAAATTTAATTTGTTTATCCCTCTGTTAAATAACCTCTAGTTACATAAAAGTGAAAAAACAATAATAATTAGAAAATTATTCAAGAATTTTTTTATTAAAAATTCATTTTTTGTTTTGATGGTTTGAAACTTTTCATTGATGTTTCGGAGTGCAATTGATTAGTCTTTTATTATTGATGTATGTGTATTCTGGACAGATTGCCTCGATATTGCCTTAAGTCACAATTATTATAAGAAATAAATCAGCTAGACTCTAATTTATAGACGATCTTTGGACGAATCTTAAGTAACCTTGAAAAATATTAGCCAGTCAGCACACAGTCAGTATAGAGTAAAAATATATTATACAAAACCAAGGAAATCAAGTGGATACACGTCTTATACGTGGTTCGAAACCTTGTCAAGGTTAGAAAGAGATTCAGAGGTTCTAAAATCGTATTGCATGAAGTAGAGGAAATCATCCAGACGGCTACAGAATAGTCGGTATCTAGAGCCATGATAAAGTCCCAAAACCTCTTTCAGCCTCGATCACATAGCTTCAACATTGTTTATGTGCGCTCCGGTTGTTGAGTCCACAAAATGCTACTTGTGGATAACAACACGATGCACATAACCAAGCTTATGTAGGAATATGTACGCTCTCCAAACATCCGTATATATGTTGTAGTACCTGGCTGCAGCCAGTGTTACTGGTGCTTTTATTATCCAGTTCGCAATAATTGTCGTAATTTGCCTTACATAGGAAATATGTATAGGGTTTTCATCATGAACTGACATCAGCTATAGTGCCAGGAGTTTATTTAACCAAAAGGATGAAAGGCTTTCGCGTTAAAATTCGAGATCTATTATCTTATGCCTGATTGTTTCGTCCACAAATTATAGTCTCACTGTTTTATT